GGTTTTCTGACTCTTTCCATATTATACTTTGGTTTCTCTTCTTGAGCTGCCACTTGAAAACTTATTTCTAGCTTTCTTGAGTCGGCACTTCTGTTTGGTTTTGACCTCTCTGCGTTGTAGTGCCAGTTTCAGAGTCCCTTCTGATATGCACTTGGGCTTTCTTTCTTTCTTGTCTTTGAAACGACCTTTCATTTTCTTCATAGTTGATATTCTCGATGTCATCACTACTGCTCTGCTCTTTGGTCATTAGTGTTCAATGTGTGAAATTTAGTCTTGAGATGGATTTAAATTCAATTGGGATAGACTCAGGGTCATATTTTGGTTCTCAGGGATTTGTTTTCATTTTCTTCAACATCGTTTGAATCTGTACATGATTAATAGATGATCTTTTGCATAGTTAACCACTGGCCTTGTTTTGACTACTGATACTGAGTTTCTCCAATGACTGTTTTCACAGATGCAGTCAATCACATTCCTATGTAGTCCATCCAGTGAGGTCCACGTGTGGACTCACCATTTATATAAATATATTTATAATTAATAAGTCATTGTGCAAAATTCTATCATTCGATTTTTAGCCTTTTTTTAACTAAGTCTGTATATTCTCACTACTAGGATTTTGGTTTTGTTTGCTTCCAACTCTCATGTTCTAGTCACTAATTATTACTCATTCATCTTAATTGCCTGTACAATCAATTTTAAACTACATAAATTGGTTAGTTGTTAGTGTTGGTAGTGTTGTTTTCAGGTGATAGCTAGTGGAGTACAATGCATGGAGACCCTCTGAACAACAGATCTGAATCCCGTCCTACCCTGTGCCATCCTCACTATCTCTAATACACTTGAGTCCATTGCTATAGTCACCATGTCTATCCATCTCACTGAGGGCCTTCCTCTCATTGCCTCTCATACCTTTCCAAGTATGATATCCTTTTCCAAGGACTAGCTTTCCTAGCAATATGTCCAAAGTATGAGAGATGAACCTTTGTCATCTTTGCCTCCATAGAGCATGCTGATTATTTTGGCATTTTATGGGATATTAATACTTTTCTTCAATACCACAATTCAAAGGTCTCAATTCTTCTATCATCCTTACACACTGTTCAGATATCAGAAACATAGCAAGTGATTGGAAAGATCATGCTTGAATCAGGCCCACTAATAACATTACTCTTCAGTATTTTGGAGAGGTCCCTGATAGTGACCTTTCCCAAAACAATACATTTCCTGAATTCCTGATTGCTGGTATCAAGGCTATTGATTGTGGATCCAAGCAAGATGCAATCATTCCACTTCAATTCTTTCTCCACTTATCATGATGTTGCTTGTTGGCCCAGTGATAAGGACCTTTGTTTTCTTGTTGCTAAGGTACAGTTTATTTTGAAGGCTGTAGTCTTTGATCTTTTCTGCAGCAAGTGCTTCAGGTCCTCCTCACTTTCAGCAAGCCATGTGTGTCATCTGCAAAACGCAGGTTGTTGATGCCACATTCTTCATCATAGAGTGGGGCTTCAAGAATTTTTTGTTTAGGATACAGATTGTGTAGGTATGGAGAAAAGATACAACCTGACACACACTCTTCCTGATTTACAAGATGCAACCTGACACACACTTTTCCTGATTTTAAACCATAAAGTGTTCCCTTGTTAAGTCAGTGGTTCCTTAAACAGCCCACCAGCTACCTGCCAACCTTATTTTCCAAAAATATCTAGTAATAAAATTGGGGGGGGGGGCAAGATGGAAATCTTAATAATTAAGGACAATTGGATTTTTAAAAAATTGTTATGACAGAAAGACTTTTCTGAAGTAAGCATTTTCTTTCCAGTCAAACCCTAAAATCTACTTTTCTACTTTACTGGTTTTAATTTAACGTCATTGTTTTATAGAACACACATCTCATTTCTTCAGTTAGGACAGGTCTTCTAATCTGAATTTTCTAGGATGCAAATATTTTAATATTCTTCCTGTGTACAATGGACACATAAAAGGTCATGGTGAATTATACTCACAGAAAGTTTTAATCTCATACATTTTGGCCACAGTATAGTAAATGTGATCTTAAGCATAGGAAAGGAGAGAATAAAATATTTAGCTAACTGGCTCTTTACAAATCTTGGGCACATTTATTTTTAATAATGGCTTCAGGATATTTTCAGGAGGGTGATCAAATTAGATAGCATTTCTGCTAGCCTTCCAGTTTTAATGACAATGTCTTCTCTCCTTTCTTAAAAAGGTGTTTTATGTATTCTTTCTAAAATATCCTGGAAAAGTCTACTAATGCCTTCTAACTCATTACTGTCAAAAGAATGATTTTTTCTGACTCTGTCACTTTTTGAACATAAGGGAGATAACTTAATTTCTGGATGTAAACATTTATAGTAGAGAAAATAAAGGGCTTAGATTCTCAAATCATTGTCTTCTGAGCTATTATATCAAATCTCCTATATCTGCTGGTAGATATCTTATTCAAGTTTTATTTTATGGATATTTAGCAAAGCTTCAATATGAAATCCCATATCAATTCGCTGCTAGCTCAGGTAGTAGCATAGACTGTCTCCCAAACTGTAATGCTTGCAAGCTCTGTCAAGCTTCAGCTTGCTCTCTCAGGATATTCTGGTACTGGAAGCAAGAAGATGCTAGACTGCAGCTTATCATGTGGCCTGTAACTCTGGTAGTTTATCCATTTCTCATTTATATTATAAATACCAGGAAACCCTGGGTTGATCTTGACCCTCTTTTTCTCTCTGTATGTCTATTCTCCCCCAACCACGTACCACTACAATTCACAAAGGATTTTTCCCCTCTAAAATCAGTATGGGGAGCTCTGGTGGCCTAGTCATAAGAACACTTGCTGCAATCCCAAAGGCATCACAGTTCAAAACCACCAGCTGCTCTGCAGGAAAATGATGGGCAGTTCTTTCTGTGCCATTAACTGCCTCTGAAAACCCACTAGAGGGGCAACTATGAGTCAGTTCCAACTTAATGGTACCCAACACAACAACAGCAATGGTGGTATAGTCCATAGAGAGTTGAGCTGCTGACCCAAAGGTCTGGCCTTTCTGCTGGTTTGACTCCACCAGTGGCTCTGAAGGAGAAAGATGAGTCATCTCCTCCCATGTGATTTACAGAGTCTGAAAATCTGTAGAGTCAGCTCTGAGTTAATTAAGTTATTAAAAACTAATACAATACTATATTTGTTCTAAACCTTTCCTTGCTCTAAGTTTACTTTTTTTAGCATCTAAAGAAATCCTCAGTGCTTTTAAGGATCACATTTAAAATCTTCATTGTTGCACAATGAGGGATTCTCCAAGAATTTTTTTTAAAGTTAGTAATAATTTTAAGCTCCCGTCTGGTTGAGGGAAAACCCTCAACCAGATGAATTGACGCAGTGACTCCAGCAATGGGTTTAAGTTTGTCAGAGATGATGAGATGCACTGAAGAGGACAGGGTTCAGATCTATTGTTCACAGATTCACTATGAGTCGGACTTCACTCAAACACACCTAACAACAGCAGTAAATTTGGATAAGATTTAGGGCTTAGTGGCGGGAGCTGATAACCCATTTTGCAGCAATTATTCCTGAAAATGCTGTTTGTCCTCAGGTTGATTCTACTGCATGGTTACCATGTGTGTTGGGCACTCAACCTGTGCTCCATAGCATTCTCACATCTGTGACCTTATGGAAGCAGTTCATCTGGTTGTTTTCTGCAGCACCATTGGATTGTGTCTAACCACCAACTTTTCACTTTGTAACCTCGTGCTTAAGGGTGTTTGTGTCACCCTAGTGAGAGCTTTCTTTTGAAAATTTACCAGCTATATGCTTTCTGGAGGACACTTTTACTTCTTAAGGTAGAAAAAATAGTTCAATCTTCCTTTAATATTCATAGCACTCATTTCTAACTTTGATTTTATATTCAGTTACACATACAGATAGAAACCTATCATTTTATAGAAATTTATGTTTCAACGATTTAATGTAACTATGTTAAGGGAAAAAATATTTATAATTGAGTGGGTCCTATTTGCAATTACTTACTAAGCTCTGCATTGTGTATGTGGCCTTAAACTAATATATGATTTAGACCCTGATTGCAGGAATCACATAACTTATTTGAGAAATGAAATATGTATCTTTGAAGAATCACTAGTAGACAACGATAAAAGTGATAGATGACATTAATAAGTAGTTTAGTGATTTTTTTCCATACTATATATGTATTTTTTATGATTCTTTTCCTCCACAGTAACATGTGTGTGCTTCCACTATGCTTTTGCAAAGTTTATCCAGAAAAGAAAGCGTACGGTGCTAAGGTATTCCATTACAAGATGTTACTTTTTCTTCCTTCTGGATCTTCCAGTCGGAGTTAGTTATACAAGCTCATTCTCTGTCTTGTGAAAAGATCTCTATGCATATCTTAGCATTAAAAATGGAATGTTTTGTTAGTGCTAAACTGCCCACATTTATGCAGAAGAGGAATTCATAAGGTGATTCTTCTACATCCCCAGAAAAAAAAAAAATAAGGATTCCTTCTGCTTTCCTGAAAAGAAAAAAAATAGTGATATATTCACAGAAACAATACAAGCAAAGTAAGGTGTTCTGATCCTGCTTTATATAATTGAGTTACAAACAAGGAAACTACCAGACTTGCCCTTGCCCTATTGATGCATGTGGATGTGTGAATTTTCTCCATGTGTTTGCTCTGTGTCCTTCAGAATCCCCACAGTGGAGATGAATCACTAAAGGTGTGTATTAGCCTGACAGTCTTCGAAAGTATCAAGACACAACGCTAAAGCCTGGAAGCAGCATTTCATTTAGTTCCTGGTGTACTGCTAATTGAGCCCTAACCCTTCATTACTGTCGAGTGCAAAAGGGCTCCGTAGCAAGTGGCATTTAGAAAGTGACATAACGAAAAGCAACTCAGAGCAAAATTCTAAGCGATGTGAACTTCAGTTACTCTGTTCTTTTATCATCATACTGATTCTAATTTTATCTTCTCTTTCAGGTCACTTGGATCCCCCCACTCATCCAGAATGGAGATATACTTAGCTATGAGATTCGCATGCCTGACCCTCATGCCATAATAACAAATGTGACTTCCTCGGTGTTATCTCAAATAATCACTCACCTCATTCCTTTCACTAATTATTCTGTCACCATTGTAGCTTGCTCAGGGGGCAATGGGTATGTAGGAGGATGTACAGAGAGTTTACCAACTCATGTTACCACCCACCCTGCCCTCCCCCAAGATCTCAGCCTTTTGTCAGTGGTTCCACTAAGTGAGTCTTATGTTGGGATTTCTTGGCAACCACCTTCCAAGCCCAATGGACCTAACTTGAGGTAAGGAAAGTGATTATACTTTTGGATTTTGCTTTGGCTTTACCTCTCCAGAAAAAAACCAAAGGAGCTCATTTTTTATATGGGCACAAGGCTTTTTATATTTACTTATTGGATGTCCCCAACTAATGACTTTCAATGAATTTTAAATTGTATGACTTGAGGATGTCAAATGTATCATCCAGGAAGAGTGCAGACGGTCATTACAAAGACAGAATAGTAAGAAAAGACCAAAGTGGATGTCAGAGGAAACTCTGAAGATTGCACTGGAGAATAGAGAAGCCAAAGCCCAAGGAAGAATTCAAAGTATGTGAGACCAAGTATTGTGTCTATGGAAGTACTCCTTAGAGACAAAGATGCACCCTTGGCAACACTTATTTCAAGACAGATTTATTTATTCTTTTGGCATTCTGTGATATATTTAATACTCTTCATCAACATGACAATTCAGAGACATCCATTTTCCCCCTACCTTCCTTATATTCATTCTCCAACTATCACATGCACTTGAAACAATGGAAAATACCATGGTACCCCATAGACTTTAGACTGGCATTCTAACTTTAATAGCACAAAAGTTGGGTGAAGTGAAAGTCAATATACAATAAGGGTGTCATTAGGCATTGTAATTTATTATTTAAATCAGATTCATCTTTGTTACATTCAAAAAAAAAGGAAATTTAAAAGAACGTAGAAATTATTGAGTAACATCATTAATATGACACACAATTAAAATTGTGATGACGGTTATTACAAATTGGCTGGAATAGTACATCAACAAAACTGCTGGAAAGTCAAGCATGGTGCAGAACAGACCATAAAGCAAAGGCTACCATTGTTGAGGTCCAATGGATGTTGACTGAAAGCAGAGAATACCAGAAAAATGTTTACTCATGTTTTATTCACTCTTCAAAAGCATTTGACTATTTGGAGCAAATCAAATTGTGGCTAACATTGAGAAGAACAAGTATCCCAGAAAGCTTAATTTTATTCATGTGAAACCTACTGTTGTTGTTGTTGTCTTTATGTGCCATTGAGTCATTTGCGACTCATAGCAGCCCTATGGACAAGACCTCTAAATGCAGTTCTATCCTGTGCCAAACTAGGCATCTCAAACACACTCATTCCCACCACTCCAGTCACAGAATCGATCCATCTCATCAAAGGTCTTCCTCTCCTTCACCGCCCCTCCACTCTGCCAAACAAAATGTCCCTCTCCAAGGACAGTCCCTCCTTGCAACATGCCCAAAGTATGTCAGACGAAGCTTCAGAATCCTTGCCTCCAAGGAGCATTCCGGCTTTACCTTCTCCAGGACAAAACTGTTTGTTCTCCTAGCAGTCCATGGTATAATCAACACTCTTCTCCTGCACTACAGCTCAAAAGCATCAATTCTCTTGCTATCAATCCTAATCATTGTCCAACTCTCTGATGCATAGCACGTAATTGTGAAGACTATATCCCATATCATGCACATCTAGTCTCCAGTTTGATGTCGTTGCTCTTCAGTACTTTTGAGAGGTCCCTCACAGCTGACTTTCCCAATACAATTCATCTTTTGATTTCCTGGCTGCTGTTATCAAGATTGTTGATTGTGGAGCCAAGCAAACTAAAACTGTTAACTATCTCAATCTCTTCACCATCCATACTGATGCTTCCAATTGGCCCAGTGGTAAGATCTTTGTCTTCTTCATGTTGAGCTTCAATCCATATAGGAGGCTGCAGTCCTTAACCTTCTGCAGCAAGTGCTTCAGGTCCTCCTTAGTTTCAGCAAGCAGGGTTGTGTCATCTGCATAACGCAGGTTGTTGATGACTCTTCGACCAATCCTGATGCCACATTCCTCTTTGTACAACCCAGCATCTCCGATGATCTGTTCTGAACACAGATGCAAAGGTATGGAGACAGACTACATCCCTGACGGAACCCCTTCTTGATTTTGAACCATGTAGTGTCTCCTTGCTCTGTTCTGATGACTGCCTCTTGGTCCAAGTATAGGTTTCGCATTAGCACAATCAAATGTTCTGGGATTTTCATTCTTCTCAGAGTCAGCCACAACTTGTTGTGATCCACACAGTCAAACGTCTTTGCATAGTCACTGAAGCACAAATAGACATTCTTCTGGTATTTTCTGCTTTCTGCCAAAACCATCTTACATTAGCTATAATATCCCTAGTACCACGACCTCTTCTAAATCCAGCTTGCACATCTGGCAATTCTCTGTTGACATATTGTTCTAAATGTTTTTGGGTAATTTTCAGCAGAATCTTGTTTGCATGTGATATTAATTATATTGTTCGATAATTTCTGTACTCTGCTGGGTCACCTTTCTTTGGAATGGGAGCAAATATCAATCTTTTCTAGTCAGTGGGCCAGCTGGCTGTTCTCCAGATTTCTTGGCACAACTTGATGAGCACATCCAGGGCATTTGAAACCTAGACATAGACCAAAAAAAAAAAAAAAAAAACCCAAAAAAAACAAAAAAAAAAAAAAAAAAAAAAACCAACAAAAAAAAACACAAGAAACAAAACAGTTATTTAACCAGAATAAGGGGAAAGATTTAAAATCAAGAAAAATGTGCATTACACATTAGTTGTATCCAGTCTCCAAACCTATTCAAACTGTTTGGTGAGCAAATCATTCAAATGTCTGGACTTTTTGAAGAAAAATAAAACATCAGGATTGGAGGAAGACATGCCAACAGCATGAGTTATGCAAATGGCCCAATCTCACTAGCAAAAAGTGAAGATTTGAAACACTTGTTGTTGTCATGTACCATTAAAGTCAGAACTGATCCATAGCTGACCCTCCTGCAAGTTTTCAGAGGCAGTCAGGTGCACAGGAGGAGATTGCCCTTCTTTCTCCCTTGGAGCAGCTGGTGGGTTCAAACAGTGTGCCTTTGGGATTGCAGCACAGCTTCTTTGCCACTAGGCCACTTGAAACACTTGTTGTTGTTGAATACCATCAAGTCAGATCTCATCCATACCTGACCCTCCAGTGACTTTTCAAAGGCAATAATCACAGGAAAAGAGATTGCCCATCCTTCTCAGTGCATATCAAATCCTACCACTTTGTATATGAATTATTATCTCAGTCTCAAGAAAACAAAATTCTTCACCATTTGACCACTAGGTGATATCTCAATAAAAAGATGAAAGATTGAAGTTGTCCATGATTACATTTTACTTTGGTCCACAATCAACATCCATAGTAGCAGCAGGCAAGAAGTCAAAAGACATGTTGCATTGGGAAATCTACTATCAAGGATGCTTGCCAAAGAATTAAGATCAGTGTCTGCTTAAAGACTAAGGTGCACCTAATCCGAACCATGATGTTTTCAATTCTTTTCTAAATATCTGAAAGTTGGGCAATGAATTAGGATAACCAAAGAGTAATTAATGCCTTTGAGCTATGGTATTGGAGAAGAGTACTGAATATCTCATGGACTGGGGACAGAACAAAGACTGTCTTGGAAGAAATGTAACCAGTGCCCCTTAGAGGCAAAGGTGATGTGACTTTGTGTCACATACTTTGGGTATGTTGTCAGAAAGGACCACTCCTTAGAAAAAGACATCAGGCTGGGAAAGGTGAGTGAAAAGTCAGGGAAAGAGAGAAAGATCTCTAACAAGATGGATTGACACAGTGACTGTGACAAATGGGCTCAAGCGTTTTAGAGACTGTGAGAATGAGGCAGGATAAGGGAAAGTTTGTCGAATCTGTTGCTCACAGAATCACTTTGAGTTGTGGTCATCTCACTGGCACATAGCAGCAGCAACACAACTGTCTATGAATGATTGAGTGAAAATGCAATGTGATTTGTAAACTCACACTTAAATGTTTAACATAATATTAAGAAGTGCTGGAGAAGAGTAAAAAGAAATAATTAAACTGAAATCTGTACTCTTTAGTTGTTTAAAGAGGTTCCTGACAGCAGGTTTCCAATGAAATATGTTGTTTGATTTCCTGATTGCTGCCGCCATGAGTATTTATTGTAGATCTGAGTAAAATTCAATCCTTAACAACCTCAATTAGTCATCATAAAGTTGCTTGTAGACCTAGCTATGAAGGCCAATAAAAATAATTACTGATTCTTTAAAATGAGTAATCTTGGAAGAATTTGGAGCTGATAATATTATCATTGTTTCTAAAGAATAAAAAGTAGCAATCTAATTAGATAACTAACTTTATTTCTATTTGAACTTTATGCAAAACTAGCCATAATTTCAATCAACCTCACAAGACAAAATCCTTAAAATATTATAGCTCTTCCTGTTCTTAGTAAAATTGAAATCTATCCACTTGTTTCAAAATAGTTGAATATATGTAAACTAGAATCACGTACATGTTTATCAGGAATAAAACTTTGTAGTTGCAAAACAAGATGCTTTCTTTATGTCTGCATGCAGATACCACACACACACACACCGAATTTTGGTAATAACATTATTTGAGATAATCCCAATGTGTCTGCTTGTCTTTTGCCTTAGATATGAGCTTCTGAGATGTAAAATTCAGCAACCACTTGCATCAAATCCCCCAGAAGATTTAAATCGGTGGCACAATATTTATTCAGGAACTCAGTGGTTTTATGAAGATAAGAGTCTTAGCAGGTGAGATTACAAAAACTATAAAAAAACAAATGCTGGCATTTAGTTTTAGCTGTGTTGAACAGTTCAAAGTATCTGAGCGTCTTCATTGTGTGAGCATGTTGTCAGTTATGCAATAAAACATGTTTGGTTATTATCTCTGGCATTAATCATGGAACTGCAACAGTCAGCACATTTAATGTTTGCCATCTTAACTGTATGCTTAAAATAAATCTTCTCAAGTTGAACTTTTAGAGGCTTAAGCCTTAACCTATTGCCTTTGTCGCAGCTCTATCACAAAAACTCAATAAAGGTATTTTGAGAGTCAACATACACTACTGCAGACATCACTGAATATGTGTGAAATGCTATCTATTTCTGAAAAGTGATTTATTATAAATTATTGATTCAGCACACAAAAATGACTTAGTAAATGGACTGGGAATCTGAAAGAATTCAATCTAGAGTTCAGAAACAAGAAAACAATGTCAGAAAAAAGAGCATTTGTGGGAGAGTTAGATCAGAGTTCTGTGACTTGCTATGCCAGAGAACTAGCTTTGTGACCATAGACAAGTCACTTACCGTCTTTGGGGCCTTTGCTTTCTTTATCTATAAAATGAGGGGATTGAATGAGATTGAATGTTTGTAATCATTAAATTGTTTTCTTAAAGATGTGACATTTTTATGAAAACTTTTCACATGAAAAGTCATATTTTCTTTAACTTTTTAGTCAGCTTGACTATTTTTTTCTGTATCTACCACAAAGTAATCATACTTTGAACTGTGTTTCAATCCTAGCTCTCTCATAACTGATAAAGGACTCTGTGTAACAGCTGAATTTGAATTTATTTTTCAATTCTATTGTCATCTTTATTCATTTTCCAGCTCGCACATGCATCACAGGTGATGGAAAAGACCACGGCCTTAATCAGGGGCATCTTAGTCTTAAAGGTGACATCATTACTCATAAGTATTCTTTAGAGGTCCCTGATAGCAGTCTTATGATTATTTTTTAATTATTTTTTAGTAATTCTAGCTAGCAGCTGTTTTTCCCTGGCTCATCTTCTCCCAATTGTTGACTGTAAGAGTGTGAGTGGACTGGAACCAGTAGCAGCATCTGATCTCTAATAACTCCCTAACAACAGAGGAAAACTCATTCCTAGAAGGTTAGACATGCTCTCATGCTGCGTAGTATTCCACTGTGTGAATGTACCATAATTTCTCAATCCATTTGTTTGTGGTTGGACTTCTGGGCTGTTTCCATGTTCTTATGATGGTGAATAGTGTTGTTATGAACATTGGTGTATAAGTCTCTGTTTGTGCCTCAGTTCTCATATTTTCAGGGTATATTCCAAGTAATGGAATAGCTGGGTCATATGGATTTCTGTGTTCAGCTTTTTGAGGAAGCGCCAAACTGTCTTCCAGAATGGTTGTACCATTTTACAATCCCACCAACAATGTATAAGATTTCCTATATCTCCACATCCTCTCCAAACTTTATTACTTGCTGCCTTGCTAAACTTTGCCACAGTTACTGGAGTGAGATGGTACCTTATTGTTTTGATTTGCATCTCTCTTATTGTCAGTGATTTGGAGCATTTCTTCATCTGTCTGTTGGCCATTCAGATCTCTTCCTCTGTGAAAATTCTTTCCATGTCTTTTGCCCATTTTGTGATTGGATTATTAGTCTTTTTCTTGTGGAGGTCCAGGAGTGCTCTGTAAACTTTCAGTATGAGACTCTTGTCCTTATGTATTTTACAGACAATTAGAGATCAAAACTAGAAATACAGAAAATTAACAATAAAATATCAGAAATAAAGAACTCAGTGGAAAGATATAGGTACAGAATTTAATCATTTGAATAAATAAATAACAGAAAACAAATACCTTGGTATTATTTGTTTAAGGAATAAAAACAAAATACCTAATTTCATTGCTATTGCATTTTAATTGCATTTTTGGAAACTATAAAGACTTCCCTACAATATTTCTTGTAAAGTTGGTCTAGTTTTCACAAGTTCCCTTAATTTCCTTTTATAGGAATATTCTCTGCTCACTATCATTTTTAAAAGACAGTTTTTCTGGAGATATATCCTTGGTTGACAAATTGCTTTCTTTCAGGGTTTTATATTTGTCATCTTAATGTATTCTTGCCTGAATGGTTTCTCCTAACATATCAACATTCTATCTAATTGGTGCCCCTTTGAGGTGATATTTCATTTTCTACAAGTTACTCTCAAAATTATTTGTTTGTGTTAGAAAGTTTAATTATGACCTGCCTAATGATTTATTTTGGGGTCTCTCCTGTTTGGAGTTCTCTGAGTTTCTGGGAAGGACACTCTCTCACAGAACATAGCCAGAGCTGCTTGCCTATGAGGCAATCTCTCACATAACATAGCTATGGCTATTACTTCCATCAGTTGTAGTCTGGCTGGCATATAAAATCTGGTCTTAAAAGACAAATTTTAAGTCAAATCAGGCCCTAAAGGAACAGCAGCCATAATAGCCACAGCAAAGAACCAAAGACCTGACATAAGATGGAGTGGACCTTGAGACAGCTATGCCGTTGAACCAGAACTGAGCCTTTGCACAAGCTTGTTGGAGGACTAGAGGGGGAAAGCCATAATTGGCAGGACTGAGTGCTTTCTAACACTGGCCTAAAGCCATGAGGCTAACAGCTGAGGTGTCTGTGAGCACCTTTCAGAAACTGCCCTGACTGAGTGATTGTATCTTGAATTATTATAGCCTGTTGACTTCCCTAATATGGTTCTGTTTCATCTGTGAGTTATCATGTTGGATTTTGGACCCAGTAAAGCTCTAATATTGGTGTTGGAATGAGTAGAAAGAGTTGCAGAAGGGGGGAAGGGGGGATCATGCCTGACCTCATGAGAATTGGTTTTCTGTTGTGGATGTTGTTGATGAGAACAGTTCCCCTTTGTGAAGTTTCTAAAAGTCAGATATGGCTGTCCTCATGCAGCCCTTGCTCTTTTTACACATTCTCACAGTGCTATCATCATGTTTAGCCATGGAATCACTAAATCTACCTAAGAAAAATCATAGGCAAAAGTAACATTCCTATGAACCCTAAGTGCCTTACATGTAGCAATTTCCAAATAAAAAATATTTACTATTTAATAGTTGCTGAATTCCATTTTTAAGAACTAGTGTTCATCATGGACAGATAATAAGCCTGGACAGTTAATTCTATATGGGGTTTCCATCAATAATTTTATATCAGGCCATTTAGTCAGAGATCAAGATACTTTCTTTTGAGCACATGATGGGAGCATGTGCAAATAACAAATTCCCTGATAAAATATGGGAGCTCTGTTGGCCTAGTGGTAAGGAGCTGGGCTATCATCTTAAACACATGTGGTTCAAATCCACCACTCTGAGGCAGAAGGATAGGGAGTCTCCTCCTATACAACTTACTGCATTTGAAAACCCGTTTCAGGGTCAGTTATTACCAGGATACAATTCAACAGTACACAACAACAAGAAACAAATACTAATGACAACTCACCTTGCCACTTTCATACCTATACTATAGGAATTGAGATAGGGTGTGTAAGCTGAATTCCTTGTGTTCGTCTCTTCCTAGTTTCTCTTTGCCAACTATATTTTGAGGAACTATAAAAAAAGAAACAACAACAACAAAAATAACATTGAGCTTTCCTTCAAAGACCTTATAGTCTAGTGGAGGAGGAAATAAATAACATACTTTAGTTATGTTGTCAGGAGGGGAAAGTTCTTGTAAAAACACGCCATGCTGGAAAAGGCTGAGAAAAGGTCAGAGAAAGAGAGGAAGACCCTCAACAAGATGAATTGATACAGTGCCTATCCCAATGATCTCAGATATGTCAGAAACGATGAGGATGGCACAGGATATTATGGGCAAGCTTCATATCAGTTGTTCATAGCATCACTATGAGTTGTAAATGACTTCATGGTACATAACAACAACATATATAAACAAGAAGTCTGTTTTACTAGGCAAGTGGTCTAGTTAGTTTACATAAAAGTTTTTACTATGTAGAAATTCACACCAGTTTTATCTAAAACATTATTATGTTCAGAAATGTATATTGTTCTAGGAGTGATACTCTTCTTTTGTATCTACATGTATAGAGCAGAATACTGAACCATTCATCCAGATAATTCCGTTCAAACAAAATGTCATCTGTGTGTGAATCACTTCTGTGGGGAAAAGTTTTTAACTGAGATACCCAGCCGTTTCACTTATTAGTGAACTTGCTCAGCCTCTGTAGACATAGACGCAGTGTAACTGTGAGTTTATACTGCTTGTCAGTTTCCTTTTTTTCCTTAATAATTCTGTGCAAAGTGGCCAAGTTATGGTTGTTTGGGGAACAATAACTTTGGATTCCCTGACATTTTCATCACTTGGAAAATCTGGTGAACGTGCCACTGTTGCCTGATGCTGGGCCATGTTTTACAAGGGGCCAGTGGCCTCCTTAATTTTAAGTATCAATCTATCCTTACAATTTTCAGCACCTTACACTTCCTGGACTCCTGACTGATCAGAAAAAGACAATCCAAAACTGCTGAGAACTCAGTTAAGAGCCTGATCTCCTTTAAATCTGGGTTTAAAGAAGGGAGAACACCTTCCCTCTTTATGGAAAGGAAAATTTTGACCTGGACATTTTAACACATTGGCTAGCATTAAATGGATAAAGTGACATATGTTCTAACTTTGATACCTTGCAATTATTTTCACATTTCTAGATGTATTTCTTTTTGAAATGGCAGCATGAATAGTGACCTCCAGGTGACTCATGAAAACTACAATTTAAAGGAAAAGCACTCATATTTATTAGATTTTCATCTTGGTGTTGAAGGATTGAATTTGTTTGTTTTAAATGTAAGTGCTTAAGCTAAAACCATTACAAATTCTAAGTCTAAATCTTACTGACATAGTTTCTTATATGTGTCTGAACCTACAAAAATAAAACTATTTCAAGGCCTACAAGATGATATAGTTTCTGCAAGATAATATTCAAAACAGC